CACGCGTGCAAAGTCGATATCTCGCGCGCGCTCGTACCGAAGAGCCAATTCGTTAATTTAATGCAGCGTATGTGCGCGCGCGTATTAATATTATTTTGCGTACGCGATCGCGAACAATTACAAACACGAGAGGGGCATCTGCGAGGAACGAACGAACGAACGAGGCGAGCTTCTGTTGCTGCTGCATGCCCGCGTCCGTATCGGGAGTATTTTTACTCGTTATTTTTATTTAGTTATGTATATATATTTTTTTTTTTTTTATTCAACGCGATATCTGCGCGGCGATAACGAGTATACCTCTGAAATAATTGCTCGGTTTATGCTGCCGGGGCGCGCGAGACTGCACTCGGATGCACCCCCCTCCACCCCTTCCTCGACAACGAGAACCCGGCGGTGCACGTATAAATTTCATACCAAATGGAAGTTTTGCTCGCTCGCTCGTTTACACGAGATCACGTACAATTACGATGAACGAGTATGCAGCAGCAGCAGCAACGGATACGGTGGTCGATGTTTTTCGACGCATGATATTAACATTTTAGCAACGTTAAAAGCGCATCGATTACGAAAGCGAGAGATTGGATTCGTCCGCGGACGCGAAAATAAAAATCACGATCGCACCGCGGACACTTTGAGCTCGCTCGCTCGCTCTCCTCTTTGAGAAGAGCCTGGTTGAGAGGATCCTTTCAGTCCGCGCGACTATATACGCCGCTGTGCGTGTAATTCCTCTGCCTTTGTGTTATCGCAGCGAGGCATTTTAAACTCGGCGACTCGGCGACTCTTATATTATTGTCTTTGTCCCTTTCTCTTGAGAGAGACAGAGAGTCCTTTGCACTTAAGCCGGAAAACGAGCATGTGCGTGCAGAGATTATGTAAAAGAAGGAAAAAATGTATAAAAAGCTCAGAGAGCTTGCGACGTTTTATTTATTTTTTTTTAAAAAGAAAAAAAATAATCGCCCTCTTAATTTAGCAGCCCAGTAAGTACAAGCAGCTGTTCGAGTGGTTAATCAAGAGGTTACTATATAGCGTCGCGCAATATACTTTGCGAAAAGCTCATCGATTAATAAACTCGACGCGTAAATTATTATCATGGCGCATGTATATATCGTTTCGCTGCAATTACATGCTTATTACGTGCGCGCGCGCGCGACACACACATAATGAGTACGCATAGTTTCGAATCTCGAAATTCTCTTTGATCGTACATGTACCTATCCCATGTACATTATATTACGTATACAAGGGCAAACTTTCTGACCCGTTCTCGCGAACGTTCAGTACTACTCTGTAGGCCAATATAAACTTGTGCCGCAAGCTCGTAATTGCCGCAAGTACACCAGGTACACATATATACGATTCGTCTGCAGTTATGAAAGTAATGTTGATACGCGCGGTGGAAAAAAAAGTACACGCGAAGTAATTTTTAGGCGAGACGGTGTCTGCGCTAGCACTAGGTCGGTCGATGCGAGGAGTCCGGTTAAATTCATTTCTCGGGTATACGTACGCGAGGAGAAGCGTAAATTTCCCAGTACTAAACGACTACGACGACGCGTTAAGTAGAGCAAAAGTTTGCGTCGTTAAATGAAGTGTTCGAAGTCACATATATCCCCCCTCGCGTTCGCTAAAGTTTAGAGTTGCCATGCCGAGAAATCAACGCGCAGTAGCGTATGCAGAAAAGTCAGCATACGCTCAGGTATATTTGTGTATACGTGTACGTGTGTATCTACCTTCAGCAGGAGCTTACACACGTAGGTATATATACAAAACTTCAAAACTTGTTATTTTCAAACGAAAGAGAGCTCGAGCAAGGAATTGCGAAAGGGCACTCGGGGGTTGAGAGCGGGCAACTATTTCGCCGGTTCTCGTCGCCGCACAAAACAGAGAGAGAGAGAAAGCTGGATTTGAGTAGTGGTACGTCGCGCAAGCTCTGAAACACGTCTATACGAGCTCGAACATACGTGACACACGTATACACTGGCCCGTATATATGCGCTCCTGCTCCTGCTGCTGATCTGTGTGAGTGAGCTTTTGCAACTTGGTATATATTATATACAACGTACAGCGTAACAGCTATACGGCAGAGCTTTCACGCGAAAAGACGAAGCGGGTCAAACAGCGCGTATACACATACAGCAGTAAGCAGCTGCAGCAGCGCCAGCAGAGAGCTTCGACATCTGTTTACGCGTGAGTGTATGTGTGTGTCCCCGAGTAACAGGTATATATTGCTCGACATGCAAAGCGAGAGCTAGACGTACACGCGCATACGTATACTGTATTCTCTCTCTCTCCGTCACTGACCAGCTCTGCTGCTGCTGCTGCTGCTACCCTTTGTTTCCCTTTAATTTGTTTCGTTGCCCGAGACTCGTAACGCGCATTTCCACGTGGAAAATCTCTTTGTTACTTATGTACTTTCTATTTTTTCTCGACCGCACTTTTACAGATTTTTCCCATTTTCTAAGGGACGATGATGTTCGAGGAGGAAGAGCATCTCGAGACTCGAGAATTACGTTGTACATCGCGGGGGCTCAATTTTATATATAATGTATGATAATAATAACGATTCGTTGATTAATTTTGTACTTCGTTAAATTAATTTACTTCGCGTAACGTTACACGTTGATGAAAAAAAAAAAAAAAACACGCGGGGATAATAACAAATTTTATTTACAAAAGCCGAGGGAGATTTCATCGCGTTTCAAAGTTTATAATATATACAACGAAACGTATATATAGATTCAAAAATATTATACGCGATGTAAAGATGTGCAGAAAAAAAAGTTCGTGTTTATAATTTTAGCTCGTGCACTCGACGCGGCTGCTGCTACTACTCTCGACTTTATGTAAGCAAAAAAAGGGAATCTCGCAAGAACGCGCATCATCTCTCTTTATCTCTCTTTCTCTCTCTGGCTGTGTACACAAACTCACGTTGTGAATATCCTGAAAAATATATATGGCTTAATTACTTTTTAACTCTATCCTGTTTTGCGACTCTTGCACTCGCACGCGCGCACGATTGCACGTGTACAGCACGTAGCGTAGTTATAATACTCGCACAGACGCATTATGTACTTGGGAAACGGTTTTATCGTGCTCACCTGCGGAAACGATACATATATACGCAGTCGATGCCGATACGGCTTCGCTCGAAGTGAAACTTTTTTAGGCGCGACGTTGGGTACATATACGACCAGTTTATAGCTCGTAAAGGATCGAGAGCAGGCGAATGTAAAGAAGAAGAAAAAACGCTTGCGCGCGTTTCTATGAAAATTTTAGCTCTTAGACGAGGGTGGCCGAACGAAACACAATTGAAATAGTCTTGGAAACAACGACCGATATTTAATAGTGTTGTACGCTCATTTGTGGACTCGTTTTCATCGGTGCACCACTGTGTGATACAGCGACGTTCAAAATTGTCGTTTGGAGCACAAAAGCTAGGTATCCATTTGCTCGAAAAAAATGAACAAACCACTTGCTCGAGTCATCGTCGAAGCCATGAAAATTGAACTCAGTCTGCGCGGAACTGGATTGCTCATAACCCACGTTCTTGATTACTTTGTATACGCGTTCGACCGTACGACCGCACGCGGGCCATCTAGCGTTCGCGCGTCGAATCAATTTCGCCTGTTTAACGTCGTATCTCTCATTATATTTTTATTTACGAGCGTACGTCGATACACCGATGCTTTGGAAAACCGTCTCTCGGAATCGTTCCAACTGCACGTACAAGTATTCACATACGTCGTTGTCTCTCTTACATCGAGTTGTCGAGCGCGAAAGTTTCGCAAAAAAAGAGATCGCGTGCACCGCGCGCGGAAAATCCTCGTCGGAGGACTTACGTTGCGCCGTACAGGACGAAACGTACGCGATGTAACGCGTAATCGAACATGCACCACACTATATATATAGGCAACGAAAAAAAGACTTGCCGAGTATTACACAACGGCACATGCTTAAAGGATCACAGTCCGCTGTTGCGGTTTAAGTTGGGCGATTTATCGCGAAACGTCGATATCCCTATATACGCGCGCGCGTGTGTGTGTGCGAGCTTCTCTATGCACGCATCCCTCGGCTGCTGTTGCTGCGATCCCTTTTTCCTGAAACTTATGAGATTTTCTCGCTGACCCTTGCACTTTCCCTCTCTCTCTATCTGGCCTCCGTAGCGTATTTTTCAATCGCAAAACTGTGCTTCTGCTGCGCTTCCAAGGCGCTTTTTATTGAAGATTCCATGTACGTTAGACCAATGATAAATTGGCTTCGTCGCGCTGAGATTTATGTCGAAATAACTGATGTCGCAGTTGAGAATGCGTGTCGTTGTCCGGCCCCGATCAATTGCAAAATGAAACACTGATGTATTGTAATCGAATGATGAACGTCCACTCGAAACTCAATATTATAATTTTATAATTTTACCGAGCTATAAGCCGATTAACGATTTATACTTTTACCATAATAGTGATGAAAATGTGAATAACGAGGTACCATTTTTTTCTCTGTTTCAGTGTAATGCCGATGAAAATCCGACTCGTCATCCCACAGAACGATTCTTATTTTGAGTCTTTTTCGATTCGCGATCGCAAAAGCTTCGACGACGATCGCGTCTTCGTACGAATAAATCCATTCGTCCTATATTACGTAAGGGAATTGATGCGAAAATCTCATCATCGACGCAAGAGGCAATATCTGTAAAAGAGGCCGTACACGATTTATCGCCAAAAATGAGGATTAGGGTCCAGAAGATAATTCGCAGATACTCCAGCGCGACCGGCGATACACGAGTACACCCTTCTTGCGTGCTGTCTCTCGTGCGAGATATATAGGAAAAGTATATTTATAATAGTAATAATATTTCGAGGAGGCACCGCAAGGGCAAACGATGGTGGCGTCGAGGAGCCACCGTAACGGGAAGAAAATTACGATGCATCGTTCGGCCGGACGAGCTGCTGCGACGCCCCAATAATGCAGATAAAAGTCGTCCGTTCGGCAGAGAGAGATTCATCATGAGAGGAGTGTGATTTTATGGGAATCGTCTGCGAGGCTCTTAGAGGGGACATCTACGTCTTGAGATCGGATGATTCGATGACGTCCGCGACGAGCAGCGTGGAAATATTTTCTTCGTTTTCCATATGAGCCTTTATTTTTACAGGTAAAAAAAAATACATCATTTTCTTCGTGTCACGAGAAACTTTTTAATCTCGAAATCAGCTCGATTGCAGCCGATAGTCAAAGGTTCGACGCGACATCAACCTCTCTCTCTCCTCCCTTCTTCCCAACCCCCCTGTCGATCGAGATCCGTATTCGCGAGCCACAGTGGAGACGTCAACGTCGTCTTCGACGTCAACGTCAACGTCGCCATCGGACAACGAACGCGGAGGACGACGCGGCAGCATGGCCGATTACGAGCGCATCAGGCTGGTCGTGCTGGGCGGGGCCAGCGTCGGCAAGACCGCCATAATTCGCCGCCTGCTGGGCCAGGGCTTCAGCGACAAGTACAGGCCCACCGTGGACGATCTGTACTCGAGGGAGTGCATACTGGGCACTCTCACCCTCAAGGTCGACCTGCTCGACACGGCTGGTGAGTCGAACGAACGTGTTTTGAAAGTATCAAATTTAATTACATTCGAGCCAAGTTTGGCTTTAATAATTCTGAGTACCTACGCTTCGCCATCTCAACTGACTGTTGATTGAATTAATCGAAATATGGATAACTTAAATATAAACATGGATAACAAAATTATTGAAGTATTTATTATAATTACATCAAGTAATTAGTATTATTACGAGTAAAAATTATATTTTAATTAATTAAGCCGCAATAAAGTCGATACTGATGAAGCAATACATCAGCTACCCTCTCGGGACCGGGGATGATGCAACCGTCCATTTCACTGTGTTATACACAGCGACGATTTGACTTGTAGCATGTAATACCCTTTGAAATGTTTTTTACCATTACTCACTCTCATTGTTCAAATTATTGACTTTGTTTATATGGCTTTTGAGATGACTTTGATGATGACCAAATAATTTATCGTATTCCCCGCACTTGTTTCCTTTCTCTGTGTCTGATATGAATATTACGATATTTTTCTTTTTTTAATATCTCTTTCATTTATATATCTACATTATTTTCATCAAAAATATATCTCTACAGGCCCTTTCTTCATGGCGTTATGAGCCTCAATAGGATTCATTTTTATTCTGTCGTGTCAATCGAATATTGTAATAATAAAAGTTCATCGTGTAGTATTTGCTTATCGACCTGCAATACAATTCCATGTAAACTTCCATTCGCAAAAAAAATATAAAAACAAGGCAATAATCAATTTGACTCACAAAGTAATCAGGCAGCATAGTGTTCTTTGAAAATGTTCAATGCTGTGTTCGGGTTCGATGTTGACATGAAAAATTTCCTTCATTAAACGACATACTGATTGATTCTTGTTCGCTCTACAAAATATAATTCTCGTAAAATTTTCGAAACTAGCTTGTCAAAAATCAACACTCATTTGCAAAATGATGTACAGTTTTGAAGAAGGCTTTTCGAAAACAAGCAAGAAGTTGATTTTCAATGCAACCAAGTTCAAGATTAAAAACGTCAATGTAATCGAAACACGTCTTGGTTTCATTCAGTCGTTCGCGAAAACTATAAAAAATTTCAACGTAGTATTCGCATTCGCAGTAAAAGTATGACCTTTAAATAGTCGTGCAATTGAATGTCGTGCAAACGTCGATTCATGTGATGTTCGCCGTACACACGACACTCCGAACGTAAATAAAAACACGTGAAAAATAAATACACTAATTTGTAAGTGACAAAAGTTCTCCGAACGACGTACAAAGGAAAACGAGATTTACATAACTGACCTAATGTAATGGACTTATACAATTATCTTTACTTTGCCACTTGCAGATTCTCAGATTAAGATTACTCGCCATCTAGTGGCAGAGACTCAAAGTGAGGTTTATAGTATAGTACTCAAAGCGGCTGAAAACTAGTCGACACTTTCTTGAACAATTCAATTGTCAATTTAACATGCGTTCAATATTTTTAACATAACTATAAAAAAAATCGCTAAAAACAAGCCAATTAATTCCTTTTTTAAACATTTTAAATGATAATTGGCTATTGGGCTATACTATTGATATTGAGAATTTGTTCCGGAGATGAACGCAAAATATTTTTTAGAATTAAGAAAATATTTTTCGCCAACAGGTGATCAGCAGTTCCCGGCGATGAGGCGACTGAGCATCGCCACGGCTCATGCTTTTCTGCTGGTTTACTCGACGTGCTCGTTGGCCAGTTTCGAATGCGTCAAACGCTTCTTCGAAGAAGTTCGAGAACAGAGGCCGGACTTTCAGGTTGAGTCTCTATTTGTCATCGACAGAGTGCACACAACGCCCCGAGTAAAACTTTCAATTTAATTTTCCGTCTCGATGAATTTCCGCAGGAAGTGCCGATCGTCATAGCCGGCAACAAATTCGACCTGTCCATAGCCCACCGTGAGGTGCCGATCGAGGACGTGAGCGAGTGGCTCTACTGCGAGCTGCCCAAGCTCAGGGCCAAAGTGATCGAGTGCTCGGCCAAGGACGATTACAACATCAAGGAGGTGTTTCGCTGTTTCGTCACGCTGTCGCGAATAGTGCCAAAGAATCCGACCGGCGAGGCCGACGAGTCCAGCCTGAGGAGACGCTGCTCGGCTTACGGCTCGAGAAGGTATATACAAAATTCATCATTCACATTCGATATACAACACTTACGATATAGCTACAACTAATTGGATTGATTTTATGAAAACGAACATGTCGTACTCTGTTAGCTTGTTAAGATCAGATAAAAGGTGGAGACTGTGAGTAATGCAATGAACAATATCTCAGATTATCACATCTCCGAATTTTTATATCCTCACCAACCTGTTGCTTTTTCTTTACAATAGGATACCCTTACAATAGACCCAAGTAAACCCACTATATTGTAAATAATAATAGTAAGTTTATTTGAATCTCCAATCTCATGGATACTACCAAATGTAAAAAGTTAGATCAACGATTAATTCCTCATATCGTTACACATTTTCAACCAATAAATTAAAAAAAAAATGTACCCTTATGAAACCACACTGAATGATTCTTTTGGTAAAATAACAAAGGTCGAGTGCACCACAAGTAAACGTACCTTGTAATAATTCAAGCATACACACATCCCCGTGAACGATGAAAAATATCATCGCCATATGTAAGAAATTAAGTCAAGTGCTAATCCGCGTTTCTAATTTTTTCAGCACGACGAGACCGAGCAGTCCCGGGCGCTCCGGCAGCAGTCCCGGCAGTCCCAAGCAGGTGATGGCGGCCCAGGGCTCGAGCTTCGTCGCCGTCGCCGAGGAGGTCAAGAGCAAGCCGCGCAGCCGCAGCCTTATCAGGCGGGCCTCGCGCAAGACCAAGCAGCAGATTCGCGACTCCCACGCCGAGGACTGCAACATTTCGTAATTATTATTGTTGACATTATTATTACGAGCATCAAAGAAGAAGAAGAAGAAGAAAAAACACGTCCTGCCGAGATAATCGTAATGACTGCGCTACGACTACGGCGGAGCTTTTCGTTGACACAAGTATATGAAAATGACGCATTACATAAAATGACATATTATATATTTTATCGCAGCAGCAGCAGCAGTGCTACACAGAGAGTGGATGTGAAATGTAATTTTTAAACTACAGTGATATTGAAAATCTCGAAATTATACGAAATAACTGCAGCAGAGAGTTTGTTGCTTGAATAATATCGTTTGTTACATCAAATACATACTCAACTCGATTACGAAATATATGATGAAATATTTGTTACAATGTATATCGTACGCACACGCACGCACACACCAAACAAGGTAAATCAAATCGTTGCGTATATTACGATATAAACTCGCGCGCATGAGCTCGCGATTGTTTCGGAGCGGACGAATTATCCGCCGTTTGTAAATATTATACAGCCGCGATCGTGTGTCCGTGAACAGGCGCGTTCGAACGATCTCCGCGTGCAAGCTGCTATACCATATATAGGGTAATGAGCGCGCGACTCTCGCATTTAACATTTATATTCGCCACATTGAGAAGTCAGTTTGTGGAAAATAAATGCCACATCAACATAAATACAGCGGCGATGGCAGCAGCAGCAGCAGTTGCAGTAATCGCGTTTCCTTCAACCGCGCACAAACGTGTTTCTTTTTCCAAAACTCATTTTATACATAAAGCGCCCTCCACCTCCTTACCTGCCCCCCCTCCCTCTGCCTCTTTTCTTTCTCCGCGGGGCCGCACACGCTCTATGTATGGCACTGCTTTCGTGCAAGGAGAGCAGAACTTGACACAAACAGTTGTAAATAGTTGGTAGTTGGGGCAAGAAATTTAAATGAAACTTTCTCTCGCGCTGTACTGCTAAAAATTCAGAGATATACACGCACGCAGAGCTGATTTTCAACGAGGCATCTTATATATTTTCGCGCAAGAAACAGAAAAATAAGTATCATTCTTTTTTTCGATGACGCGCGCGCGGGAGACGCCGAACTTGTATATTTCTTGCATTCATCCGCTTACGGATGGTGGAGTTCGACGAAACGTGGAACAAATATTAAGGGGGCGGGGGGGACGAGGAAAAAAGCGTATCACGATGCGATACGAGCTTTTTCAAATGTATACGAGAAATGCATATTCAATAATTTCAATCGAAAGAGAGACGCGCGCGGATCGGAGCTATGTATGCATAGCTACTTTTCTATGCACGAAAAGAAAGTCAAAAGCTCGCACGGGAGAGGACCAAAAACTATATGATATATCTTCAAAAAAATAACCGCTGAAACAATGCTTTCTTTTTTGCGCGAGAAAATGCCCGCGTTTATATTATGAATACGTCGTATATACATAAACTTGTCTATTATAATACCGAGCCCGACTACGACGCTATTGAGCCGTGCCGTGCTGTGCTGTTCTGTTTTTTTTCTCTCTCTCTCTCTTTTTTTTATGGGGCCGCAGGATCGAGCTCCTATAAACGCAATGAGCCAAACATCGAAGATTGGAAATTGAAGAGTCGGCTATAAAGCACGCGCGATAACACACACGCATACGTGGGTGGGGGTATATATGCACGTATAGTACCGAACGAATTTACATATAGATATTTCATGCGATTTAAAAAGTTTCATCAAAGTCGCAGGCCGATATATACGTATATGTATATTACATGGGGTACACATCCGAGGAAAGGAATAATATATAGGTAATCCAAAAGGGGGCAGCGATCGATACCGAGTTTTTTGCGCGTCCTCCTCCCGCCCAAAAAAGGAAGAGAGAGAAAATGTCCGAAACGAAGGCGAAGGTTTACATAATGGAAATTACCGAAATCTAGCGTGGAGCTTCTTCTTCTTCTATAATGGCCAAAGATGTTTTGCGCCAAGAGATTTTCGTTTCGTCGCGCTAATATATTCATGCGCTCTTTCCCCGAAGCTCTCGAATCCTTTATAGAGTCAGGTATTCGAGTAATGACGCGCTTGCCGACGTACTAGAGACTACACTATGTGCTTGGCGATATTAATAATTTGCGCGCGTCTCGTTGTCTATGTGCGCTTTTTTCCCAATTATTCGCTTCCGCACCTCCAGGGAAATATGTCCCTCGCTAAAATACATATATATTACTGAAAGGCTTCGAGTTACATACACAGCGTGCTGTACACCGATATTTTTCCCGAGTATACTTTTATTTTTGTAATTTTTTTTTGCCATTACAGCGGTGCATTAAATAATGAGCTGTTAAATTTAAGCCCCTCCGATCGATATATAACGTGTATATATACGCGAAAATGATAAAACTGGAAAATTGGAAACGACTGCGTAATAAAATTGGGCTCCTCTTCTTCTTTTTTTTCGCTCGCTGGTTATCCTTTTAAACTGCAACATATAACATCGGCGGCGCAATAAATATCGCACCAAACGGACTTTCGCCTATTGGAATTTGTAGCCTGGAATAAAAGTCAAGAAAAATCGCACTCTCTCTCTCTCTCTCTCTCTTTCTCTCTGCCTACGGGTTAATGTTTTCAGATATCGTTTTATCGATTGATCCTCCTCCCTTCCGTTGCCTCTCGCTTTTTCTATATACATATAAAAAAGTTTCTACTACATAGATATAAAACTCTGTCTCCGTACGTCCGTCCGTCTGTGCGGCACACGAGAGGTCATTATGGGGACGTACCCTCTTCTCCTCCTCCTCCTCCTCTCGCCTCCCTCGCGAAGACGACGACGACGGCGACGACACTTTTCCATTTTCTGCACGCACAGACTTAATAAATGTACATTTGAATAATACACGCGCTACTTAATTACACGACAGCCGGGCATGTATATTTGATGATCTCGCAGATACGCTTCTCGATAACGCGTTTTGATTGAACGGAGAGAGAAGACACGACGCGCCTGTGATTGATAGATAATTCCGAACGTAAAAGTATAATGAATAAATCCGTTGTGTATATACATAAAAATAGCGTACAGTTATATTAAAGTTATATTGTATTTGTATACGCGTCGTGAAAAAAAAAACATTATTATACATAAAAAGTATTCGCGTGACCAAAAGCAATCATCATCAGACACGTTTTTATTCGACATTATTATACTTGCATTACGTGTGTCATCGCATCGATATTATACATATATTGAATATATATACCAAAGTAGATACGCTAGAGTTGGGTACGATCGTACAAAGAAAATATATCATCGTATAACATATTCCTTTGCTATACAACGTCGCGATGTACGCATATCGAACGAGCGAAACAATTTGGTAATCGTCGGCGCCGCCAGGCGGTGCCGATCATACCCCCTTTCACAAACGCTCAGAAATGAATTGATATACAGGCATCTATGATTTTGTTAATTAACAACAATTTATTCATATGTTTTATTTTTACACACGGGCATTATTACAGAGTATAGAGGTTGAATTTCGATTGATTTTTAGTATCAAAAATTTTTCGATCCGAAGCGTAACTCCAAAAATATTACACTTGAAGCTAATGACAGTGAATTTGTGTTAATTTTTTTTATGTAACGTTTAAGCGTTCTTATAGATTCTCCGATAATAAAAATGGTATGCGTGTACAAATGGAATGAAAATCAATAGTACTCAAAGTATTAACAGGGCAAAAGCATGCGAGATTAAAAAGACCCGTATTAATAAACAAATGAAACAAAGCAACGTGAAATAGTGTCCGAATGGCGGGAAAAAATTTGTTTAATTATACACAACTACTCAGCTGTGTTCAATAAAATTTGAATCAATTATTCAAAGATAAATATTTCACGCCGCTGAGATTGAAAAAGGCAAAAATTAATAATAAAAAAAAAATTATATATATTTCGATGTATTTATGTGAGGTGAAGTGAGAGCTCGCACAGGAATTCTGTAAAATAGTCGAGATTTTTTTAACGAGCCGAGAGCATCGAATCACTCATCGTTGCGTAGTTATATCATTATTATTTACGAGCGAGGAGTGTTGATATTACCATAGTTTTTAATAAATAAAAAAATGAAATTTTATCGGGATCGTAAGTGCAATTCGATTCCAGAGATATGTATTGCCATCGACGAGATTCATTGTATACTTTTAAAAGTAATTAAATATATTTTTCTGCTTTGTTGAGGCGATGGCAAAGTAAGGCTGAATATGACAATTTTCAAATTCATTGAAAAAAAATAGGTTTGAAAATGTTCATTTTTTCCTTGTCCAGGGCATACCCTCGGCAGCAATGTAGCGTTTTAAATTTTGTAGGATAAATATTCCAAAACCTGTTATACTCAACGACCAAACACTAACGACGTTGTGAAAAAGAATTTAAAAACTAGCATTATTAAACAATCTATCTATATTATACAAAATAAGCTTCAGTGTGTAAAGATTAAAGAATAATCAAATTACGATAATAATTTGTAATTATTAAATATTGTATTACAAGAATAATAGATATAACTAAGCAAGCTAACTTGTATTCGATATGAAAAATATTTTTCATCCAATCAAAATGTTTATTTACAAAAAATGTTGTGTGATACTATAATTTACTTCAAATGAGATTATCTATTCACTTTTTATAAATTATATCTTGTCTTTGCAGTACGAATTAATCAATTTTTAAATAACAGATATTTTACAAATGTAGTCAATCAAATTAATGAAAAAGCTATTAATAAAACTTTACGAATTACGTAATTCTGCTTATGTTAATTAGTAATCAAGTTACAATGATACCAAAACAATTATACAGAAGTCAAATATATTATGTAAATACGATTAATTTTTAACTACTTCAGACATCAACGTTTCAAATCAATTACGAATTTTAATTAGTTATTACGTTGAAATATTGACACTATAAGAGTTTGCAACATATTAATGAAAATATTCCATATTTTAATTACGTATGAAATTGCATTTTATTGTTGCAAGAAATATTTTATAAAAATGTTGATTAATAAATGTTTTAAAAGTTTCATGTCAGCTTATTATTGTAAAATGGTCTCTGTAAAAACGATTCAGAATCAAAGACATTTTGTACAGATCATATTCTACATGTCCTTGAGTATCAAGAATTACTTTGTAACAATAGTAAAATTTTTCGATTTGATCCATAGATACCAGCAAACGTACGGAGTAAATAATTTTTATAAAACCCAATAAATTTCATAAGTATAAAATACGATACGACACGAAATCAATGTGGTATTGAAGCGTTGCACAAAAGATCGGCTGTAACTGATGAGCTGAGCGAGTTAATCTTACGACGTGAATTATATTGGCAAAAATAGTTTGCGAAGTAAGATGAATGCATAATCTCATCGGTGGATTGTAGTTAATTTCCTGTCTATTGTGAAACTCGCCAGCGAGATGAGAAAATAGTTTGTTCCTCGGCTATGCGCTAAAAGCGTACTGCGCCATTTTCCGACAACTCACACACGTGTGCACGTATATCCATTCCTTCAGTATTATGTATATATTGTTGGTTAAAACAATATGAGGAAAGACGAAAAGTGATTTAAGGTATGTCAATAAAGACATTTTAAATAAAAAGTTTTTTTCGTCCACTCATTCAGCAAATAAAATTTATAGAAAAAAGAAATTGTATGAAATACGAGTGTGTTATTAAATTTTAATTCAGAACTATGATCCATTTGTTCACATAAATTTTTACAATTATATCTATATTTCGATTGATTGTGTACTTTTTTCAATTTTTCAAACATCATCCCTCGAGGCATTTTTATATCCGTCAGTAAGGCAGTATTTAATTCAAGATTTTTCTACTTTAACTTATTTTCTACTGAATTTTATCTAGCTTTATAAATTTATATAAAGAGTACAGCAACGATTACTTTTAGTATAAAATTTATTACAAATATTTTTACAATAACATAAACGTATGCATACAGTACTTTGTAATAAACTCACAATAAATCAAACTTATTACTTTTTAAATAACATATTTACAAATACCTCGTATGCGATCAATGCAATCGAGTTCAAAAGTATTATTGTTATGTACATTAACACTTATTAAAGTATTACTCTATTTTTAATAGAAAAATTCTATTCATCGTGAACAAAATAATCATTATTAAAATTAACTACATCGATAACTAATAAAAATGTGAATGATTGATTAGATGAATTATGATGAATGTCTAACAATCAACATAAATTGAAATTCAACAATTTAGATCTAAATGTAATTTGATAATTTGTAGCAATTTTAGATCTTTCATTTGATAAATTCTCTATAAATTCAATAGTTTCAACAAACTGTTGTTATTTTTGTATTATCAAAGAGAATTTCACCGATTTTGAATCGGATTAACAATATTATGACGATACTTTTTACAATGATACGTTTTCGTTTAAACTCAAACAAGAGCTCGCCACTGACTCGATTAAGTGATATTAAAAATAATTATTTTCAATTAAATACTTCCGGAGCAGCTGTAATTTTCCAGTCGAACTAGTACATGATTATGAGCTAATTTTTTTTTTTTTTTTTAACACGAAAGTCTAGTAGCGTATTGGTTGCCAGCAGCCAGTTACTTCGTCCCTGCGATAGTAGTGCGGTTTGTTGTCTCTGAACACGGTGACGGATGGAAATGGATTTTCTTGTATGTATTTGAGCGTCGCTCGGATCTGTAAAAAAAACCATCGAATTCACCGTAATTAGTAAGAAGCTATTTTCTCGATGAGAAAGTGACAATGAAATATTTTCTCACGTTAGAAACAAAATGAGGTGGTTCGACGTCCGGAGAAGTCGACAGATGTTGCAAAATGAATTGATCCGATCGAGACAGCCAGAGATTGACACCTCGCGACGGGCTATAGTTGAAAGGGCCAATTTTCAAAAGGCCAAGAGTATAATCATAGATGTCCAGCACCTATAAGAGTAAAAAAAAACGAAGCTTGAGTCGTTGAAACGGTATTTCTATAAAATGTATGCGCATGAGTAGTAGTAGCTTACCTCCTGTCCACCGGTGAAATGTCGGGCCGACCTCAGGGGCTGCTCGGGTCCCTTGTCGGGGAAGGTCGCGGGGAAAATTTCGCTGGTCGTCACGTTGATGCCGAGGCCGTAGATCATCGGCCAGTGTATGCCCGCGCGGAAGGTCGTGTTCAGCTCGCCCACGCAGCATAACGTCAGGTAAATCTCTATCGGTAATTTGTGAAAACAAGCTGTGGAAGCGACGAGACGTATAATGTCACCTGTCAACGTGTGAAATATGCAGGATTATACAGAGAGACGATACTCACACAATATGCTGTGGAACAACTGCTCGGAATAATTTCGGGGATCGGCGTAGCCGCCGATCAGCTGGAGCTCTATGCGACCCTCGGGGAAGCCGATGCTCAGCTCGGACACCCTCGCTATCATGTGGCAGACGGCCTGCTCGGTGCCGGAACCGTCGAGATGCGACAGAGCCACCGCTCCGGAGCCTGTGCGAGATCGTTCGGTAATCATGATAATGCAGTTTTCGATCGTTGCAACAACAGAAAAATCATGTCTGACTAATTCTCAAAAATCGTTTAAAAATCGGTTTGAAAGATATGAATTTTTCACCCCGTGAGATTACGAACAAGTTCTTGAATGCTTTAAATTTTGGTAGAGAAAAATTGAAAACTTTTTTGGCTATCTTCGTTTAAGCATTTTTAGAATTTGAAAATGTTGTGCCTGCAACTATATTGAGAATAGATACTCTTTGAACGTCGCATACCAACAATACTTTTTTATTCGAAAAATATAAACTCACTCATAAACTATTTTTGTTATTGTCTTTTTAGCACTAATAAATTAGTGACAATATTAGTTGAAAAAATATATAATAACACTGTAAACTAATAAGTTAATGTATGTATGCTGACATGCAAGATTCTTGATAGTACAACAGAATTAAATTGCTTAAACCTTTTACATACTCTACTTAACGATTTTTGAAAATTACTCGTGCATAATGAATAAACAACTATCGTACTCACCACCGTGCCTGACTATGACAATGACGCAAGTCGTTACATCGTCGGTGCCGAGTATCGTCACGTTTTCTGTATTAGTTTGATTAAAATCGTATATCTTTAGTCGAGAAAAGGCAATGAGAAATAAATCGTAACTAAAACTGTATCGTACCACTACTAATAATACAAAAAAAAAAAAAAAAATAATAATCAAACGTCTTACTGTCTTGGGGCAGTGTGGCGGCCATCTCCCGCTGCTGTACGTAGAGCAGACCCGCGGGTCCGACCAGCTTCGTCGGCACCATGTGCAGCTGATTGGCCGACTCCCGATACACCGGGTGGGCATTGTAGAGATCGCGGCTGGTGCAGGGGACCTCCTCCTGGGGGATCCCGTTCAAAACCAACACCATTCTGGAACACAGGCGCACGGGGGCGAGAAACTTTTTTTTAATTACGAGAGTTTCATAAAAGTTTCCCTAATGACTGCAAAATCCGAGACGAAATATATTCGCACTTTTAAATTATAACTCTACAACGAGTAAGAGCTGTCACATGAATCGATCGACGGTGGTATACCTCGGTACGTAATTAATAACAATTGGTAAAACTGCAGAAGGAAATCCGGCTCGGAACAAACTTCATCAAAGTATCCTTCAAAACTCGTCGTGGCTCTTCATTAAACCGCTGCGTGAGCGACACCAGATCGAACATCGAGTCGACTCTTTGGGTGAAACGGGCACACACGCGCGCGTTTATCGTCGACTCTATCGTCGAATTTGCGATCGCGAACTGACCAGAAGATATAACATTTTCAGCGAGGAGAAATCGCCGACGTCGTCGTCGTCGTTTCTCACTCTTACTCGTTCTCTCTCTCGACTGTTTATGCGAAAACACTATACTATACGGCGCGTGCAAGACAGAAAGAAAGAAAGATAGAAAACGAGAGAGAGAGAGAGGAGAGATAGATACGGTGCGATTCTTCGTTCTCGTAAACGACGAGCGGCCGATTAGCAAACGGTGCTGAACACACGCACACACATACACACATACAGCAACAGCGTCGTATAATCAGTCGAGTCGACGATTGGCGAAGCTCGAAAAAGTAGTACATACTCCGCGGGTGGTGGAAAGAGAGACAAACTGTACAAATGAAAAGCAGGTAGCAGTACAACTTTTCCATGTCATAAGGGGGGGGGGGGCGAGAGAGCATTCATGAAAAATGAGAAGAGCCGAGTCTTGATCGCGCGAGCAGACTTGGCGATCGAGCCAAAGCTCCCTCGGGCGCGTTTTTCTACTTCTTCTCGCGATGCGAAAAGCGTAAAATTAAAGAGCAGCCGCTGCGCTCGTATTCTCATAATCTCGGCGTTAAATCCGCGAGAGCGCGAGCTCGTTACATTAGAACATTTTTAACGCAATCGAAGCGCGCAAGAAGTAAAAAAAAAAAAAACAAAAAATTTGTATACCCGCGCGCGTCGATAAGATACAAGCCACACATTCGCGGAGATGTATATTCATTTTTGCTATCGCAGGAATTTTCGCCGCGCAGCGTGACACATAATCTCGAAGATGTAGTTTTAAATCATCGTCGCTTTAATACGTACGAATCGTGTATATATACCTTGTAATCTCGTCAATGATTCGCAATATCAATGAAATGCTTATAATACGTTTGTTACGGCGTATCGATACTTTTCATTGCGACGATTGGATTTGAAAAGCTTCGATGAGAACAATGCCGATAGAAATTTGTTGGTGCTTTCGTTCGATTCTTACTTTTTTTTTTTTCGTCAATACAACCGTCGAACAAAACTATATGACACGAGCTGATAAGCCCCGAGAGAGAGAGAGAGAGCCAAGTATATTATAAGACTCTGATTGAATTTCGAAATCGTACAAGTTTCGCATCTAGCGCGCGCGTCTCTCCGTGGACCGGCGCAAATATAATATAGAGACGTAAAACTTTTTTTTTTCACACAGCTCGATAATAAACGCGAGAGCTGCAGAAGCTCGAGAGAGAGAACCGGCGGCGGTGGTGGCGGCTCGGAGATGGCCGGAGCGAATTAGTCTGGGAAACGATGAGCCGTAACTTTGCCTCTCTCCTCCTCGCGTCCTGGCAAAGGGCGAGAAAAGAGAAAGATCTTTTTTCTCTCGTTTCTCTTTTCTCTCTCTCTCTCTCTCTCTCTCTCTCTCTCGCTTATGACTCGTTGCTGCTGCGTACCGATCGATTTCACCGGCCAAGTCTGCTGCTGCTGCTCAAGGGGAGCCCAATGGAACTCTATATATATATGGAGTGGAGAATGGTGCGAATGGACCCTACGCTTATTGTGCGCCCTGAGCTTGCACAGAGAAACTATACTACTACGCTCGCACTCCGTTCCTAATACTCGCTGTTAATCCTTCGAGAAAAGCAACACAGCAACGACGACGTCTTTTTGTGCAGCCGAGCTAACGCGCGGCGGTATATGGCCGCATCCTGTCTCTATTGCGCCGATGATAATAAGCCTGTATAGTGCTGCCTGTATTCCGCAGACTCGTAATCTCTCGACAGCTCCTCGTCTTTTGTAACTTTTCTTCCTCTTCTTCTTTTTTTGCATGGCGTTGTTGTCTTCGAGCCTTTTTTGTTTTTATCAATCGAAAAAGGGCCGCGTTGTTGTTGTTGTTGTTGTTGTTCTATCCAAGAGCAATCGATGGATTTTTCGAAGCGAAGCGAGTTTATGTATCGAACGATTTTTACGAGGTACGACAACGAGCTAACCTTGCGATTTTTTTAAGCACGACGAAGAGGTAAACTAAACGATCGAAGCGCGCAAGCACGACGAAGGAGACTTTTCTCTTTATAAATATTTTTCTAATCAGTATTCAAATTTATTCAACTTAGAAAATTAGAAAAGCGACGTACTATACTTTGTTTTCTTTTTTTCTTCGTCGCTCTGTACTAGCTGGTGAATGGATAGCTCATTCGTCGTTAAAGATCGTGGGTTGTTACAGATTGTCAATGTACACATAGAGGAAATTTCATAAATACGAGTTATGGAGACCGTAATTCGAATTAGAAATCATTAGAGAGAATTGAAATTATTTAGCAGCCGTGTGGTTCGAATTTTTTCGACACCATTAATCTTAACACTTCGTATACTCTAATGAAAAAACTTTTTATGTATAAAATTGTTCTCTGTGTTAGTGTATTCTACTAACTACACCTAGCGTACTTATACCTATAACTTGGCTATTTCTCTTGTGATTTTCGAAAATTAGGGTAGGCGCCATCTGGCGGTAAATTAGGTACCAGTTGATGTTTCGCTCAATGAGAATGAGGGCTCCAATAAATCAAAAATGTTTACATTATTTTGGTCGCCCACTTCGAGAGTAGTGTTTAGGTCAAAGCGAAATATATCACGAATCGAAACTTTAAGAAAAAAATTATTCGAATGAAAATCCATTTACTGAACACCGCTTTAAATGGGATTGATCATGCAACAATTCGAAATACATTACACGAGTTCGAATTTTGCAATTTCTACTGTACATACGAGCACACGCATAGAATTTTCCATTAAAACATTATCTCGAGTGTAAAATCATCGGTTCCGACGCCGCGCTTTACTTCCTCTTTATACATTTTTACGACGCTTCGAGCTCGTACTCGCGTTTCTTATATATATTATGTCGCTTAGTACATAACAGCCGAATGCAAAACAGCAGAAGCAGAAGCGGCGGCGTGATAAAAATTTGCATACACGACTACGACGACGACGACGACGACCAAGCACGGATAGGCTTCCATACATATTAATGAAAAAGCGAAAAAAGAGAAAAAAAAATTTTATAAAACAGCGACGATTTCCTTCGATTGTTTTTATCATCGTCGGCATTGGCATTTCGTCGTTCCCTTGTCGCCCGCCTCGATCGCGATTCGATTTTTTTTTCTTTTTGGTATTATATATGTACGGCGCTCTGCTGCTTGCGTGCTCCATTACACGCCTCTGCGTCAAAGCTCTCCCTTGCCCCTCGCATTCGTTAATTTGCTTATGTCTTATGTAGAGGCACTCTGTCTCTCGAGGCTTTTCAGGGCCACGTGTTCTTTGGCATACGAATCGCCGAAGTATTATAAGTTATACACCGTACGCGTGCAGCGGTCGCTTCTTCATTGCCATTGGCATGCGATGCTTTTGCGCGCTGAACGACGCGCCGCAAACTTTGAAATTTTTGCTCGGTCACCACCGCGCTGCCACTTTTTTTTTTCGCCAAAACCGAGGAAAAATCATGTAAACCGTCTCGTATAATTACGCGTCGTATATATTTTTCGCTAACCGCATGTACACTCGATGACGATCGACGTTGAGCGAGCTTGTATTATGTACATGCTCAGCCGCCACCGACGTCCGATAAGGCCGACGAAGCGATTGCGGGCATATAACGCAGCTTTTTTTTTTTTTTTTTAATGATCTTCGAGAAAACGAGAGTGACGCTGTGTAATAATCGCTTCTGCTGCCGACCGCTCTAAGAATGAAATATTTTTCAGACGCGGACGGACGGACAGAACGGCACATTTCATCACTCGAGAGAATCGGCGAAAAACGAGGGTATCGATAACGAGTTTTCAATGATAAATAGTCTGTGTATCGTCGCCGTCGTCCACATGCTATACTATTTCGCATTTTCGTGCGAAATTCTTATCGAAATCTCTCGATTCGTCTCTCTCTCTCTTCTCAATGAAAATTATTATACGAGCAAAAATATATATCAATGCTTCGGCTGGCTTTCGACGCGCATAGATATTTAACGCGAAAAATCATAAATTCATAATCGCACAGCTGTGCAGAGAGAATGAATATGTATATGAATCGGCCGCGCACTGAATGAACGACGCGGAATCGCGTCGCAATTACATCGAGGAATATCGATTGAAATAATTCAAATTGTATAATTAGCCTTTTCCAGCTTTCGACACCTCTCGCGCGCCGCACACCTTTGCATACTAAAATATAATATTCCTCGTTATAGCCCCCGACCCGACCTGCGCTTTTTTTTTTTTTTTTTTTATNGCTTTTTTTTTTTTTTTTTTTGATTATAACTCGAGGCAAGAAAAGCACCTTAGATATAAAGCTCGAGCTCGAGATCACGTAGACGCATTTCGGTCTTTAACGTTATCGATGGTTCGGTATACTATTTTTCTCTCCCCCGTGCAGTGACGGTGACGGTGGTGGTGGTGCGCTCGTGCGTGCCGTATATAAAGCGCCGATCCAACATTCCACGGCCGGTGGGGCTCTGTAACGTCGTGTATCTTATAAAGAGAGAGAGAGAGAGACTTGCGACGTCTCCCCAGTGACTATCGAGATTCGAGACGCTCATGGGCCCCCCGACGAAGACAATTGTCGGTTTCGTTCGGACTTTGACGCTATGCCGCTGCT